AAGAGGAAATGGGTGGAACCACTTTGGGGCTCAGATGGGAAAGGAAAAACTAGAAGTGGAAGGGGAGAGACTAAAGGAGCCAGAGAAAAGCTGCCCCTCCCATTCTTTCAAAAGGCCCTTCTTGTATGTTACCAGGACCTGTACCAGGGCTGACTCCATAGGGTTGAGGTGAAAGAAAGTTTATGCCCAGGTTCTTGGCTCCTAACTAGCCTCAGTTGTGGCACCAATTTCTGGAGTTTATGTGAAAATACATCTGACCACAAATCCTTTTGTTGTTATTGTTGGTTTATTGTGAGTAATCCCTCAGGACAGTAGTAAAAATGGGCAATCACCAATAGACAAAGGCCTATGTAGACTAGCTTTACCACCTCCAAATTCCTAATAAACAGTTTTCTTGCTTGCATTTATCAGGCTTAGCACTAAGTACTAGGGATGAAATATCCCTAGAGCTTGAATATTTCAACTGTGCTYACCTATCTTTATTTGACACACTTTCCCTAACTCTAGAGTGTGTCTTTGTTATTTTGTGACCTTCGTGTTGTTTCAGAGATACCTGTGGACTACCATGTTTCCAGCTCTTCCTCTGTGCCTGGTAGGCATAACCTGTGTCACACCTATTTTCAGGCTAGCTGCCTTCTGTGAGGTACCAAGTAGTAACTTTCATAAACTCCAAACTCCTTATGTTAAAGTTTTCACTGATGCTAATGAATTCAAGTTTKATGTTCTCAGAAAATTCATCCTTAGAAGGAAATTTTATAGTGACAATGCTTTAAAACAAAACTGGTGACARGCCAAGGAGGAAGACCACTTGGAGCAGGACACTTTTGGTCCTACTACACAAGTGTTTAGCCATGGTGCCATGCTTTTTGCTATTTTCTGTTTTATATCAGAGAACATTTAGTGGGTCAAAGGAAAAATTCATTGCTTAATATTTTTTATGATTTGATAAAGTTGAACAGAATTGAACTCTTTCCCTTGACATTAACTTATGTTTATTTTCTCCTTGGAGGTGACCCTTTGCCATTCTCTTTTTTGTATCTCTGACAGAGCAGTTGTGTAGTCCTTTCAGATTGGATATGAGAATATGGGTCTGATGGTGCCTCAAGTTATCCTTTAATATTTAAATGTGGAATCATAGAGGATTTTTTTAAGGTTAATTCTTGTAACTCATTTAAAACTTTTATGTATGATGACAACTGGGAATGTTTTTAGCTTTTCTGTAATAAACTGTTATAAGACCAGTTTCAGGAGACTTTATTCACAGTCAAAGGACCATTGATTAGTGGAATGAGAGCAGGGGAATTTATTTTATTGCTGAAAGGATAATCCTAACATGAATGATCACTTGTAATTTGCACCAAGATGTTTAATTTGTAACTTTGCATGGATCATAATTTCAGGGGTAACCTTGTAAAGTTATTTATTTTATTCTCCTTTTTCAGAAAGAATACTTTCCCTCAAATCCCTTATACCTCCCCTGAAATATCTGGGTTTTCAAGAAAGCACTTTTGGTGTTGTGCAGTATTTCAACAGCAACCCCAAACTCCCTTCTTCCAATTTAAAGTCACTCTAAATGCAATGTGCTTTTAGAATTCCAAATCAAGAATGTATTCTTTTAATTCTTTATTCTTTAGCACAATCTTACTAACACAGCATTTCCCCACATAAACAGTCTTTCCAAGCACTATTCTTATGAAATATTGTGCAAGAAAAGGAAGTTCTCCACTTTTGTATAAATACGTCAAAATAGACTCTATTGTCATGTATAACTAAAAAGAACATTTTCTGTTGTTTGTTTTAAAGAAAGCTTCCATGGTTGCAAAATTTGGCGAATTGTGCATACTGTCAGATCCTCTTGGAAATGATGTTTTTTAGATGTCACGGTTTCTGGAAATTGGGCCCAGATCATGATATTTAAAGAACACAAAACAACAACAATAATAATATACAACAAAGCAAAAATGAAGGTATACATGATTCAGATGTGCCACTGGCTGAGAACCATTGGCTGTGGTCATGGGATGCCATCCCAGGGAACTGGGGTGTGTGGCTATGATTGTCCTTCACCCCTGGGAAAACAGAGTGGGACACAATGGCTTATAGGCAGTCTTCAAACACAGGAGGGAAAAGAGGGAAGGAAACAACTAAGTGACCTTAATTTATCTACACAATGAGGCAGCTCAGACCCATTCAATATGGAGAAAGGAATTCCCTAAAACAGATCTCTGAATGAATGTATTCATAATTGTATATTGCATTTATTAAATAGTACAGTTAGGGGTGTTATGCAGAAGGACATATTAACATTGTTACAGCCTGCTTTTAACAAAAAGTCTAAGTCTGCATTGGGGAGAAATAGCCCCACAGCAAAATAATGATAACCATCCTGTGCTTACTCCTTACTCTTAATGTCTTTATTTGTGTATTGGAAGTTTCCCCAGATATGTAGAGGTAAATAAGAGGAAGAACTAARTGAATTCATGTAGGGGAAAATATGTGCAATGGCAGGAGTTGGAAATGAACTTGAGGAAGGATGAGGAAGAGGCACAAGTTCCCAAATAGCCATATATTTAAGGTTCTCTATATCTTTTACTTGTTCTCAGGGAAGTATTTCATTTGTCTTTTAGAAAAGAACTGAAATCTTTTATTGACAAACTTGAAAACAGCACAAATTTTTCCTGTGCATCTAGAAAAACCAAGCCCACATAACTTATGTCAATACAACTATTCTGCCAGGCATCTGAGGCTCTACAGAGCAAGATCTCATTTGCCAATCCAAGGTGGAGGTCGTCCTGCACCTTTGTGGACTCTACCTCTGTGGAGCCAGTCTTCCCTCATCCCTTCCATGCTTTGTGCCTCCCAATCTTAGCACATGTCATTCCCCCAGTGCAATTAAAATCCACAGTTCCCATAGCCTTTAAAGCCTTTTGGGGTCCACCTGAAATTTTACATCACCATTATCAATATCAACATATTGAGCTTTAGGCTGTGAAAGGCCCTGGGGACCTCCAGCTATAAGAAGGACCATTCCTGAGATTGTACACACACAACTACATACACATTAATTTCTCAGATAACAATTATTTCCTCGATTAAGAAAATTATTATCTAAAACTAAATAAGGCAACATTTCATTGTTTATATTCTTGTGCTATTGTTATTTTTTCCTGACCATTAGTTGTATCTTTTGTCTGTCCAGAGTGATAATTATGTTCCTTAAGTCTAGGTGACAAGGTAGACCTCTTTCTCTCTCTCTGTCTCATGTCCTGTGTTTAAGTAGATATTCAGTAAAAACTTGAGTTAATACACATACATACATTCATTCAGCATAGGACCCTAAAAAAAAATCTGTCTTACAATAACTATGTCCTGATGGATGAAAAGTTTGGGAAAAGTAAGTGTCCCAGTGTGTAAAAACTGTTCAGGACCCCCTGGTACCCTAATTTGCAATGTGCTTTCACATATGTTATCCTGTCGTTCTATAGGAAGTGTGAGCGATGGGTAAGAATGATAAGAAGTACCCATTTTACAGAAATAGTTGTAGATCAGAGAGTTTAATCTGTTCAAGATCAGAGGGTGAATGTCGAAGCTGATTCAGACCCTCATCTTATGATTCCAAATCTAAAGTGGAGGACAGGATTGAATAGTGAGAATCTGTGATGAGTGAATTTACCAGGAGAGAAATCAGATCTTGAAATAYAAAGATAAGCTTGGACTTGGGACAGGCCTGATAGTGTGGGGTTGGCAGCCATCGACTTCTCTTATGGTTTCCTATAGCTCTAGGGAGAAGGAATGTGAAGGCACATTACCCATGTGACTGTCCTTGGACTGTGCGTGGAAGCAGACAGCAGCTTTAGTCAACTGRCCTCTATCTGTTTAAAAGTCCTGGTTGTAAACTGGCAGCTAGAAAGGGCTGAAATCTGTCTCTATGGAGRGGCTGAATTGCATCCTTTGGTATGTGCTGATTACTCTGTCACCAGCTGTGAGGGACACTGTTTTACTTGCTGGYGGATCTATTTTGTTCCAAATCACTTCCCAGAGGGCTGAACAGCGACATCTACTGGTTCAGTTGGAAACAAGCAAGTTCAAAAGTGGTTGAAATACCAGTAATTAGTACTTCTTTCAAATCAAATAACAATTGTCCTGAAGGAAGTGGTGACATCAGCAGCATGTTTTATCTCAGGAACAACATACCAGTCTAGGTTTTCATTATGAGGAATACCATGTGACTTTTATTTTTGCAAAGTTTGTATCAAAGACTTTGTAAAAAATCAAATTTCAAAAGAAACAGTACAAAGAACTGTTTTGGGAGTTCCTTATAACTCAAGATTTTTATCTTGGATTGAAGATGTGATTGTGAGAAATAATTAAGTTTCTTTTTGTTAGTAAACTCTAGAATCAAATCTTACAATGGATTGTGATACGTRTGTATTACAATCAAGATTGAATTATTTGTTACATGCCCCCCAATTCTAGGCCATTCGGCACAGTCTCCCAGCTCTCAATGCAATAAAGCATCCATGTTCATTTATACTCAATGCTTTATTTCTTTCTGTGGCAAAAGTCTAAAGATCACTGAACATATAGTGAATGGCAATGCTTTTCTGGGCAATTTAAATAATTAAAAATTATTATATTATGACAAACTAAAAAGTACTTGTCACCTTCACAGTCTATACAATTTGTTTTCATAATTCAGACCTTTGCAAAACTGTCTGAGAACCAATACACCAGTTGTTTGGATTTCAACCTATTATAAACCCCAGGGAGGGGTGAAATGTCTCAGAGTGTAGCATGAGGAAGCTGCTAACTGAATAACTAAGCACTGACACATTGAGATCATTGAAGAAAAATGCTAACCATTTCACCAGGTATTTACTACAGTATCATGCATGATGCTGGAAACATGCTTTTTGTTTTCAAACAGGAAGCAAGATCCTGARATGATTCAAGTTGACTTATTCAGGTCTGTTGAGATCTCTACCAAATTGCTTTTCAGATCCCTGGTGGCTTGAGAACAGCATGGCATTAAACCACACTGCCCTGCCCCAGGATGAGCACCTGCCACACTACCTTCGGGATGAGGATCCCTTTGCTTCCAAACTTTCCTGGGAAGCGGATTTAGTGGCTGGCTTTTACCTGACAATAATTGGTAAGCATTCTTAATTCTTCTATGCAAAGACTGTTTTTAAAAGTTCACAGGCTGATATGTGGATTTTGCAAAAATGATTTCAACACTTATCTGGGTATTTTAGTGGAGTTAAAGAATGGGAAGGTGGGGTGGCATTGTGGCATGCAATAAATGTTTCATAGAAATGACTATTACTGATATTATTAGGGATAAATGTTTCAGTGATAATCCAAAGAATTTTATAGAAAAATTGTTTATCTTGAGACAGTATTTCATTTTGGTTTCTTTGCTAGTAAGTTTATCTTCTGAATAATAAAAAGAGATGATATTCTATTATTTAAAGATTTTCTTTAACTTTTTAATAGATAATTTTGATATAATTAGAAAATTTTAGACTAAGAATGAACCTTAGAAATCATCTAGTTCAGCTTCCTCTTCTTACAATCGAGGAAAATTTGGATCAGGGAAATATAGTGACAATAGAYATATTGCATTTACTTCATCTAAATGTAAAGTCCCATCACATCACTATGATGAGCATTGAGAAAATGTGCTGGTGATAAATGGGAAGTCAGCTTTGATCAAAAACTTTGTGTGCACAATCCACACAGGGGTACATCTGCTTCTATACTATCCAAAGCAGTGGCCATATATGGCTCCTGAGCACATGAACTGTTGACTTCCAAATGAGTCATGCTGTAGTATAGACACATACTGCATACTGAAGTCTTAGTACCAGAAAGAATCGTGTAAAAATATGTCATTGACAATTTTGAAAAATTTAATGCATAATGAAACCACAGTATCTTGGATAGATCAGAGTAACTTAAATATTAAGGTATTAAATTCAATTTATCTCTATATTTTTTATTTTGCTTAAAGTAAAAATTTAGAATACATATGTGTCTCACATTTCTGGTTTACATTATATTTCTATTGGACTGCACTAATGTAGACAATTAGGATTTAATCACAATACTATTCTTAAATTTAAAATCTCATTCTTAAATTTGGGTGACCAGTGTGCAGGTGGGTTACGTCTCTAGGTTTATCTGCCTTTAATCTTTTCAAATGTTGGGTCAAGCCTGCTTACTCTCCTCTCTCTTCTACTTTGTTTCTTTCTCTCTCCCTTCCYCTGTTCCTCCCTTCCTTGTTCCCTCCCTCCTTTTCTTTTTCTCTTCCTTTTCTTCTCTCATCTATTTATTCCTGGCAAAGAATTTCATTTAATTCCTAAAATTAGAAAACTCATTAGAAATTTCTCAAGATCCCTCTATGGTCAGTGCTTGAGGCAAAAGGAATCTATGAGATTGGATCAGAAATTATACATCAAAGTGATTCCCTGGGTTCTTGTTTTCATTGCTTGTTAGTCTTTTACTCAAATTCTATTTCTTCCAAGTGCAATCCCATGTCCTTTCAAACACAAATATAGACTGAGCACCCACACTTTGCTACTCTGAAGTTGATGGGTAGAGATCAGTGAATAAAATTCTGAACACTCTGCTGCGACAAAGATTATTTTGTAGTAAAATTCACATCACATTTCTATTAAATGTACATTTTCAATGACTACAAAAGGCAGACAAGTAAGTGTCCCGGAAATTGCATTCAATTTATTCCAATTGATTGCAAGGAATGAATGAAAAGGTGCAATCTCTGTGGACAATACATTATAGGGAGGAATATTAGTCTATTCTACTCTTAGAATGAAGGATTGCAGGGAGAGAGGCAACCAGGGTGAGTACCAGAGAAAATGAGGAGAGTGTTCCACTTGCTGCATGTGAGGTTAGAAAGGAGGTCAGGACCATACCAAACAAGGAAAGTTGGGATAGAGCTAGAAAATCAGGTCCAAAAAGAGTTCCCAGCGAAAGGGGTGCAGACAAATGTGTCACACAAGAGTCACTGAGGTGAGGCAAGGGCAATCTGGAGGAGTTTGGATTCATTCTAGACCCAGGTCTTGGGCTCGGCCCATGTTGTCACCTTCTCTTAGGATAGGTTATGTGGATTGTCCAGATTTCTCTCAAAGAGCCAGGGTGAAATGTATAAGATTCTTAGTGATCTTTGTTCAATACTAGGAGTCTTAGGGGAGCTAATGAAACAAAATATAAATTTGAGTTTGGAATGCAGGAGAAATAAAGACCCATTTTCCACTCTCCACTTTTTATGTAATTGCCTGGTTTATTAACTGGCTATCTAAGAAATTTTTAAAAATTCATAAAATAATCAAGGATTTTGATAGTTTTAAAATGTCTACTCCATGGTTCTTCAAAAACTTGTTTTCCTTTGATTAGTATTAAAAATACATTTGCTTTTTCTTAACACTCATCTGCAGATAAGATTGCCTGTGGAAATAATTACATGTATCTAAGAGAGAATTGATTATTTCTGGTCATGCTTTGGGCACTGGGTAAAACCCTATGAAATAGGGTTGGTAAAGAAAATTCAAGAAAAGAAAAATATTCTCCAACAAGGTCTAGATGACAAAGGGTGTTCCAATGAGCCTTGCATATGGAATGCACATACACACTTAAGATTTTAAATCTCATTTTCGATACAACAGATCTGGAATTAGCTTGATAATTTTTCAGGCTGTATTTTTACACTTTGCTTTCCCAGTGTTCCTTGCTAACTGGTTTCCTTTAATGAGACATAAAGATCATTTTAGTTGGTTTGCTCTAGGTCTCCATCATCTCTTCTATTTTTCTCCTCTTCTGCTATAAGAGAGCTTAAGAGGTCTCATTAAATCATGAAGCAGCACTGACTCCAGAGAGTCAGAAATCTAAGAGCAGAATGCAGTCAGTTCCTGGTGGTTTCATACCATCAGCAGAGACACACATTTATTTCCTTGCCCCCACAAATGAATTGTGGTGGAGAAATTAAAATAGAAATTAAAATAGAAAAATCTGGGTTTCTCCTGTTAATACTCTCCTTATTCCTTACTACTAAAGGCAGCTGTACCAGATTCTCATTTATACACAGCTACACTATGAAGCAAGAATTCCTGAGGAAATCTACTCTACATGTTAAGCTATGGAAGTAGGTGTATTCTTTTCTTAAAGTCAGTAGGGATTGGGTCTTTTTGGATTTAAACTGGGTTTGTAAGAACTTTTTTGAACAGTTTTTCATTGTAATGTGAAAGTCAATTAGTCATTAATAAAAGGATATAAAAAGTGGGTACACATTTCTGCCATTGTCGCTAGGTTTGGTGGGTTGAGGGTCACTGTCTCTCCCCTTGGTGGGAGGGGAGTGCCCATGTTATCATTCGTCACCCACTGACCCTTGATACCTAGCCCACTGACCCTTGATACCTAGTCCAGGAGCAGCGGAAGGCTGTCCTGTCTGCCAGACACTCAGCGTCCTAGTCTCCTCAGGAGTCCGTCCTGGGATCTTTCACCCGAAAATGACCCTTTGCTTGCAGGGGGTCATGCTAGACTTCTCTAGTCCCTACCTCTCCTGCATGCTGGCGCTCCCTCAGGAGCCTGCAGTGACACTGAAGTCATCTCCAATGGTTGACTTCATCTTCAGAATTTACCAAAGGCCAAGGGGTTGATCCCACTTGCTAGAGGGCGAGGCTTTATAAGGCCAATAATCTGTAAAATGGCTGAGGAAAATGCTCCACCCTGGGGGCCAGTACAAGAACTGACCATTGGGATTCCCACACCCTCCTGAGCCTACCTGGGAGTTAGCCGTTCCTTGTTCTGGGTAAGTTCAGTCTTATAATCCCTGCCTCCTTTCCCTTAGGAGGCAACCCATCCCATGCCTGTTTACTCACAACTCATGCTTTTTAATTTCATCTTCTTAATTTAGATTTTTTGTTTAGAGTCCTCTCATTACCCTCTAAATCTGTGGTGTCCATTTTTGAAATTGAGAAGTGTTTCATATCCAAATGAACTCTAAATATTAGTTTTAACGATGGGATTTTTTTATTTTTCTTTGTAGGGATTCTGTCCACATTTGGAAATGGGTATGTCCTTTATATGTCTTCTAGACGAAAGAAGAAGCTGAGACCTGCTGAAATAATGACCATCAACCTAGCCGTCTGTGACCTGGGGATTTCAGGTAACACCATCATGTTGTTTCCTCGTTGTGGGTTTAAACTAGTCCCCATTCTGAACACTCATTGACGGCGAGATCACTCTTCACCAGGACCTACTTCTGCTTTCCATTTGCAAATTAGAGTCACAGAACTTGTGATTGTCAATGGTATGTTATCTGGCTAGGGAAATCATTTATTGGGTATTTTCTATGTGCCAGGTATTTTAGATGCTGAGGGTTCAATTTGCAATAGTRCACTCTACCTTAGTCTCGAGGTGTACTGGGTTTATTCAGAATTCAGAAACTGATGGGCAGACTTCGGGTCACTGTTTGGGGCCCATTACACTCCTCTCACCCTTATCCAAACTTATGGAAGTTTGGATAAAATGAACACTGAAGGGGAGGGATCTTGAAGGGTAATGAGAGGTGATTATAGAAAGAGCTGCCCTGCTGATGGTATATTTAATTGTGACTTCGGTTCTGATTGCAAGTACAGGAAGCTTCTGGTTCCATGATTCTCAATGTTGGCTGCACAAAAACATCACTTAGGGGAACTTAAAAAAAACAAAAAACAAAAAACAAAACAAAACTCATGGATAGATTCCATAACAGAAATTATAATTTAAGTGATTGAAAATATTTCCTTGGCATTTGGATGTTTAAAATTAGAATCTCCAGGGAAGTTAACACATGGACAAAATTGAGAACCATGTTTTCTATCCTWTTTTTTTTATTCTTTGATATTCCCCAAAAGGAGGAGTTGGAATAAAATTTTTCTTTAACCATAAGGGTTTTAAAAATATGAATGACTTTGGATAAGTCACATCTTGTTGCTTACTTCTATAAAATTCTATTTGTACAATAATATTTCCTTGAATCCCAATATCTGCTATTGAGTTTTGTGTCTTAGCTTGTTAGAGTTGGGGGAATAGCATTTGAACCCCACTCCTTTGGTTCCTTCTTCTCTAGAAACCTTTTAGCAGTTTTTCATCATCAGTTTCCTTTTAAAATGTTTTCTGATAATGTTTCTTTCTTCAAAAGTGTTTTTTTTTCCTTTTCTGCTGCTACCAGTTTCTAAAAGCAAGACTCAATAATAAGCCTTTACCTGTTGAATCAMAATCACATAACAGTAGATATGTTCATTTCTTATTGGGAGTTTTTTGGTTTTGGTTATTTGGGAAGGTTTTACACATTAAGGACAGGCTGGAGTAACATGAGCTCTCATAGTGAATGAACTTATACATTAAGAGTACATGATGTGCCGGGTCCCTCCTTTCTGTGAAAATAGGATGAACCGCCCCCTGGGAATTTTCGAGGCTGCACAATGGCTGCCATTTTGACTCTTGCCACACGATGGCGGTGCCACAACAGGAATGGTAGCTTCCCAGCCAGCTCAGCCAGCTGGTCTCAGAAGGTTTTCTCCCTGGTACTGAACACAAAATGCCTGAATGAAATCTGTCATTTCAACTACATCCTTCACCAGTGAATAAAACCAGACTCATGCTTAAGGCTGAATTAGACTAGGTTTGAATAAAAATGACCTTAATTGGTCTGATACACCAAAAATGCTTCCAGCCAAGCAAGTCTGCTCTAAAATTGCACAAATCACTCCATTACTCTTCATGTCTTTGGAGTGATTCATCAGAAAGCACTTTCTCTCATGTGACAGCTTTCCCTGATTAACCTAGATTATTCTGAACATTTATAGTATGTTTGCTTTTTCAATAAATCTTAATTTTTTTGTCTGTTTTTTTTTTCCTGCTGTATTCCATTATAAGCACCTTGCAGAGGCATAGCCTAAAGACCAGATGTATTGCATCTATGCAACTAACATGTGTTGTCTAAGTTCCAATGTCTTTCAGTTGTGAATATATATTAAATTAACCTGGGGAGTTAAAAGTATGGTGATGTCTGGGATCACTCCAGATAAAATCAGAACATCTAGGACATTGACATTTGAAGCAAAAGAAAACACCTTCTCCAGTGCTTCCAACATCAGTCAGTTTGGGATGTATCCTAGAGGAGAGATCAACATTCTAGATAACCTATCTGAAGCTCATCAAAAACTCCATTCCAGAAAGAAGCTTGAGACTTGGACTAATAGGGGTCCGTAGGTACAACAGATGCTAATTACACTTCACTGGATCTTTTTCACTTTTCTTTTGCTGCCTCTGGCACCCACCCAGCTGGCTCCCCTCCCCCAAGTCTTTGAGTTTGTTTTCTCTTCTGCCTGAAATCTTCTCCCTCTACATATCTGTTCAAATTCTCTCCCATTGATTTAGGCATCTTTCTGTCTCTCTCCTTATTCCATTTATCTTCACATCACTAATCACCACTTATCATTCCATCATACCAAATCACGTAAAACAAATTTGGTTTTTTGTTTGCTCTCCCCATTAGAAAATCAATTTGTCAGTCATGATCTCCACCTGGCCCTCTAGCATCTTGCTTTGTGCTTGTTACATAGTAGGTGCTGTGTGATTATTTGTTGAAGAAAAGAATAGCTCTTTTACACTGTAATTCTTCACTGGCCATGGGGTTAGATTAACTAGGATTAAAAGGCTTTTGTGGAAGGATGCCCAGTCCAGTAGTGGGATGGTGGCGCTGTCTAGACACCTAGAGAAGACCTGTCTAGTTTAYAGAAGGCTGAGTAAACACTTGACAATTGACTGAACTAACAGGAACTCTGGCATACCTTTCTACACTAAGATGGGGGCTTGGAGGGTGGTTTATGTGCTAGCACCTGCAGGCTGTGCATATCACTCAGTTTTCTTTTCATATGTAGATCAGATACAGAATGTGAAGAGCTTCCCTGGCAGAGTCTTTTGGAGGAGGCTAAAGATTAAATACTATGACTGAATAAAGTATGTTCTATTCTTTGATAATAAGCACAAGGAAATAATATAAACAAAAAAAAGGACATTAAAAGGACAAGTTCATTTAAAAAAATTATTTACACTGTTCTTACAATGTGCATGGAATTCATACTTTCTGCTTCTGGTGTACTTTATAATCTATTCTTCAGCATCAATTTAACCTTCCCTTCTGAAGTTACAGCCTCAGAACCCATCCTTTCTCTGAACAGGGTTTTGTCTGGTAGGAAACCTCTTGCTTTCCCTTCTCTTAAGGGCTTARCTTGCCTCTGGGTGTTAGGAACCAACTTCCCTTTTTCAAGTCCAACACACTCATGATGCCCTTTAGGTGGAAGAGATGGAGGTGGATGAAAATCACTATTTTGCTTCCTTTTTTTTAAAAAAACATATTTTTTCTTCATTCTCCCTTTCTTCATCTCTTCCTTCCTCCATTGGTAGACAACTTTGTGTACACAAAGTTTTTTATTTAAAAAATATGGCATTTGGGGGTGGGGTTATGGCTCAGTAGCAGAGTGCTTGCCTAGCATATGCGAGGCACTGGGTTCGATTCTCAGCACTGCATATAAATGGATAAAACAAAGGTCCATCAACAACTAAAAAAAAACTTTTAAAAATATTTTAAAACATGGCATTTGTCCCAAGAATGTAAATTATATATCTATTAATAGACTGCATTAACAGATTAAATGAGAACAAAAAACTTATGGTCWCTTCAGAAAATGTAGAAAGATCATTTAATAAAAACATAACATCTATTTCTGGTTAAAAAAAATTCTTAACAAACCAGAATGAGAACAGAGATCCTTGGCTGGTACAAGCTAGGACAAATGTCACACTCAATGATTTAACATTAGAAAGATTTCTTTCAAAATTCATCACAATACATGGACACCTACTATCATTACTTCTATTCAACATTGTACCAGAAATYCTTGACATTGTAATAAACTAAGCAAAAAGAAATAAATGAGTTAAAAATCATCATTATTAGAAAATCATGAGTCTATATAATATCCTATCATCAGTTCTTTAAATAACAGATGGAATCAGCTATTCTGATTGGATGTCTATATGGCATACACTTAAGTTAAAGATTCCTTGCATCAAATTATTCCTTAGTCCAGACCTGATGCATTATTTTAAGGAATTCTTCCTGGTTAAATGACAGCATAATTTGTAATTTGTGGAGTAGTATTTCCTAGGGAATAATTAATATAAAATAAATATGTTTCTGAGTGAACACATTTGGAATGCTATGGCACACAATGTTAGTTACTTTTCAGATTTTTGCAAATTTAAAAATTTCTCAAAGCCTTGAATTTTGGAAGTTGAATGAGCCTTGAATTTTGACTGCCAAGAAGTATGTATAATAGGTAGCCTGGTCCAGTATTACTTGATTATGKAAGTATGTCAGTATTGGGTTTGGATCCCACCTCATGGGCTCACTGTTTTGTTGAACCTCCATCTCTACAGAGTTGGCTGTGGCTGAATGAGTGGCAAAGTGTATTGTATAAAACCTTGTTCCTATGACTGCATCTTGATCACTCCAGCTTGGATGTCTAACTTTGGAGGGAAGAAAAGTAATGAAGTCTCGAGGGGAAATCAGTATAGCAAATTTGTCCTCGAAGAGAACATTTTCTTTTGTATATTTCACTGTGAATCTATGGCCCTTTCCCCTTGATTTTCAAATTTCTGAGCCAATTCAGCAAAATATTAAAAATGACCAGATGGCTGGGACGGCCCACTGACATCACATCTCTGTATTTCCTAAAGCTGAGTATCTTTGAGACAGTTCTTTGTAGTCAGAATTACTTTAGAAAATTCCTTCTGTATTCTTTCACTATGTTTGGCTATTGGGATATTGGAAAACCTCTCTGGGCAGTCAGCATTTTATTAATCTAGAAGTTCTGCATAATGAAGCATGTGTGTGGCACGAGTGTGTGTTTACATATGCACCTGTGCTTCAGTGAAGTGGAGCCATGCGATTTGAGGAGGTAGGAAAATAACTACAAGGAACTTCCCTTGACAGCCTGCTTGGTGCTTCAGTTGTAGGCAAGCCATTCACCATCATCTCTTGCTTCTGTCACCGCTGGGTGTTCGGCTGGATTGGCTGCCGTTGGTATGGATGGGCTGGATTTTTCTTTGGCTGTGGGAGCCTCATTACCATGACAGCTGTTAGCCTGGATCGTTACCTGAAAATCTGCTACTTATCTTATGGTAAGTTGGAAGGTTTCTCCTTCCCTGCGAGTCAAAGTTAGCTGCATTGAATGTCATAGCTGTACATATTTTATACAATTAATAAATAAAGATTACTAATAACCTCAGAGACCAAGAGTATTTCTATTTATAGCCTATCTCATTCTAACACATGTTTAAAGATTTGACCTGTGCCAACATGGGTTTCTTTTATTTTTTTTACTTTTTATTTTTTTATGGGTTTCTTTTAATACTACTTTATAATAATGTCTGGTGTTTGGTTGCAGTGCTTTTAAAAATGATCACTTTCTTGTATAGTCTGTAAGCTTCTACCATATTTTGTTGTGCAAATAARCAAACAAAAATGCCTGAGGTCTRCAAGGTTAGCTGATTCCCTACATAGGAACTGTAATGATAAGAAGAGCTGTTCCTATTTTTGCTTTAGGTTCCAGTCTGCCTGTGATTTTGGAGATAAGGAATTCCAAAATTCACCTTCAGGTCTAGAGAGACATGCTGCTATTGCTGTATGAAAGGACACACATACAGAAATACAGATATACCACTTAACCGTTTTTTTTAAATTGGGGGGAGGTATTGGTAGCTAGAAAAATGACAGCTTARGAGAATTAGTGAGTGGAGAGACAGCAGTGAATAAGTTTGCAGAGCCTAAGGGTTCCCCTGCCTTAAAGATTAAAGACCATTTACTGTTTGAAAATAATTTGTAGCATTTTTGCTTCTTGTGGTTCTGGGAATTTATTGAACCTGAAAAAGAAGCTTTGGGCATTTATGTTAATACTGAGAACCAGGTGTAACTAGGGAGTAATTCTGATGCTCTCTGTATAAAGCTATTTTGCTGTCAACCTGTTAGAGTGGTTGTGACATGGGGACAGAGTATGGCCAGGAGAATGAGGTGGAGAAGATCAAGTAGACCTGAAAATCTCATTAGGGCAGAATTTCCCTTCGTATTTTAGCAATTTACAGCCCCTAGACACCAGAAAGACCATGCATGGGGACAGGGGGTGTGAACCACCAYCTTCATGATAAAGTACTTACTTCTTTTTTTTTTTTTTAATTGCGTCTCCTTTTCTGAACATTTACAACATCCAACAGAAGCAGCTTGAATCAAAATTTATGATAAGATAAAAAAATACCATTATACATATTCTGGATGACATCAGAGTCTAATTCTTTCCACAAGCTTATTTTTATTATTTTTTGTTATGCCAAGCAGATTTTAAGTTTAACTATAAACTTTATAGACAAGGAGGCAGAAACTTGAACTTCCTGGGAGTACTTGAGGAATACTAAACCTTGATGTCTCTGTTTTTAAGAATTTTCTTGAGTTTAAGCTTTTTGTCTACTAAGGGGATGCCGCTGCCCACCGCCAGGATCACGGCAGTATGGGAACTGTGTCTATTTTCCAGCTTCTTTAAGGTTTAACCCCAGTCATATGGTTTCATCATTTAATCTGATGCACTATTAAACCCTCCACACAGTGTCCTAGAATGTTGGAATTAGAAGGTCGCTTGGGGACATGTAGACCTTTCTCCCATGAAATGTGGTAGACTGCTTTAAGGCATCCCTGAGAGATGACCACTTGGCCTCTTCTTGAATAATTCCAGTGACCAGTGACGGGGAGCTTACTACTGCACAAGGCAGCCCATTCTCTGATTGGTCTGCTCTCATTGTTACAATGTTATTCCTTATATTGAGACAAAACTGCCTCCCAGTAACCTCCACCCATTGGTCCTAGTTCTGACTTCTGGAGCAACACAGAACCAATCTACTAATCTACTCCCTCCTGTACTTGACAGCCTTTCACCATATTCGAATGTAAGTATGAAACACCTCACTTAAGTAACCCTAATCATGAATGCTTATCCGTATGCCTCTGCACATTCCCATGAATATATGTGGTTCTCCCTGCCAATGTTTTTATCTGTTATAAGGGATAATCAAGTGCTGACATATTTTGTGGCTACATGATTGCTACCCTTATCTGGTTGGGCTTGAGAAATTTGTACTTCATGATACAAAAATGCCATGCATTTGAAAAAAAAAGGAGACAATAGATCACAGAAACATTGTTGTATTTATTATTAGTGCTAAACAAGACACATTTACAGAGGAGTAAAAATTTGTGCTAATGTAGTGCTTCATAGTTTGCAAAGCAAGCTCCTTACATTATTTTATTTAACCTTTATTGAAACATGTAAACAATGTAGTCTTATTTCCTTTATTTTACTGTCAGGAACACTGGATATCTGGAAAGGTTACATGAGCATTCAAACACTAGAAACAACCTTGTCATTCTCACACTACCCTAAGCAGAGGCAGATCCCGAGTTTATGTTAAAGAAAGAATTTAGCTTTTATTGAATACACTTTGATATTTCTTCTTCACTACTACAAAACCAAAGCAGTAAGGAGCCACTTCCCAGGCCCTCTTCCTCCAAGGTGATGAGTGGGATATGAAGGTCATTTTCTGTGGCGGCTGCAGCATGAAGTCAGGCTGGCTTGTCTTTGCTGGTTGTGTTGAACTTCAGGAAATGATCATTAGTGCATTAGTGTTTTACAGCCTTTTTTAGATGACTGTACTATTTCTCTTGCCATTTTCTTTTAGTTAAGAAGCCAGTACCGAAAAACAGCTCTTTTTTTATTATTATGAAAATATTTTCACATAGTTACTTTTGCAGAACACAATGCAACCTGCTTAGATTCTCTACCTCTCCCACAGTGGCTGTGTGAATACGACCATTGTGGGAAGAGTTTGAAGATTCAGTCCAGGGGGTACAAATCTGATCCACGAATTACCATGCACAGTCATCCACTTTAGCCTTACACCGCAGTGTCATAAGCATGATGCACCAATCCCCACTCAAGGAGTTCTTAGGAAGGCAAAGGAGATTAGAGACACAAAAACTTTCAAGAGGAAAGGTATTTTAAAGACCACAAGCGATGCTTTGTGATTGCACACCTCCCCTGAAGGATTCTCCCTTGGATCCTTGGATGACCCACTAACACGGCCGTGGAGATGAGAACTGTTCTCACAAGGTCCTCCATTGTCAGTATCCTCTGGTCTTTTTACTCACCCCATTTCCAAGCCTTTGCCACTTCTCCCTCCCAAAGCTCCCAGGTGCCTAGAGAAAGTCTTCCCTGTGAATTCTCTTCAAAGTGTCACTCTCCTGGAGAAAGGCCCAAGCTCTGGAACTTTCCCTGCTTCACTCCACTCTCCCTCAGGCTTCAGTTATCTGCCCACGTCTCCCAGAATTCAATGGAATAAATCTTTGGAGGTGGAATTTGACATATCGAGGGGAGGTATCTGGGTGCAGGGCAGATTCCATGTGGGTAATGCTCTTCTTCCGCCTCCAGGGGTTTGGCTGAAGAGAAAGCACGCCTTCATCTGCCTGGCAGTCATCTGGGCCTATGCTTCCTTCTGGACCACCATGCCCCTGGTGGGCCTGGGGGACTACGCACCTGAGCCCTTCGGAACCTCGTGCACCCTGGACTGGTGGCTGGCGCAGGCCTCAGTTGGGGGCCAGGTTTTCATCCTGAACATCCTCTTCTTCTGCCTGTTGCTCCCTACCGCTGTGATCGTGTTCTCCTATGTGAAGATCATTGCCAAGGTGAAGTCCTCTTCCAAGGAGGTGGCTCATTTTGACAGTCGGATCCACAGCAGCCACGTTCTGGAAATGAAGCTCACCAAGGTAATTGCAGACACAATTTAAAGAGGTGCTTTCTGATCAATTAAACCTTCAAAGGACCCAGAGGATTGGGAATGTTGGGACTGGGAAAACCTAGAATTCCCACTGCTTATGTGCTTCTGAATGTTATCATTGCTTATCTAAACCACTGGGTATTCTTGAGGGGTGGATAGCTTGTTCAGCCAATACTTCTAAAGCTCACTACATATATGAGGTATTGACTGGTACATATGATTTAATTTGATTTCTTGTTGTTATTCTACTTGACTTGAACTGTGTTTATCAAATGATTAGGCTTACCCTAGACCTGATAACTAAATGGATGTTAAATGAAAAGTGTAGAYGTATATATTCACACATGTATATTTGTAAATGATTTTTTTCTATATATAGTTTATTCTTCTAACACATACTACATAATAGTATATGTAACATGTCTGTGCTTTGTTGGTATATAAAATATATTTTAATATCCTAAATATAAAATGTTTCTAATTAATCKTTTTGGAAAAATTTACATCAAAATTCGGCCATATTGAAAAATAAAACTTTCTGTTGTGACTTTTGTCCTAAATTCATACCATTTTCAATTACTACTCGATTTTGACCTCAATTTCTCCTAGTAGGTAATATAAGAAGAAACAACTTCATGCTGGGTCTTTTCATAGTCTCTGAAGTCTTTCCTCCATTCAACTACTGCTCAGGATTAACAATTTGCTTGTTCACGTGGTGCTTCTGATCTTCAGAACAGCTTGGTCTAAAAGCTTATTACTTAAAGGCTATCTTCCTGGATTCAGGGATCAAAATCATTTAGTTCTCTGTGTACTCTAATTATTTCTAGCTGAGTTATTATCTGGGACTGCTTTCTGCTGGTCTGATCTTGTCAAGCTAAAAATTGGCATTCATCTAGAAACCTTTCTCTACTTTGTAGCTTGCTTCTAATTAATGCTTAAAGAATGCTAATTTCACTAAACTTGTAGCAGTCTGAAATTTCACAGACTATAAACAGAAGTATTTTACACATGTGAGTGCACACACACACACACACACACACACACATACTCACACAGAGGGATCTCCCTGCTTTTCCCACAGCAATCTACGAGCTCCAGGGAGATTTTTTAAAATGCCATGGTGCCAATGTTTTGGAGCTCCTGGTCTGGTTGTTGTCACTTATTAACTTGGTGCTTAACTCTGTAAGGTGGGTTCAGGACACCATCTCAAGGTCAGTTACCAGCTTCTCTCATGTTCTCCTTTGCCTCTGAGCTGTAGGCTCTTTTTCTGTCAGAGTGGAAAACTGGCTCTTACAGGCACATCCTCTAAATTGTTCATGAGTAATGCCTGGAGTCTTTTAGAATTTTGGCTTCACAAAAGTCATTCCCCCCACCCCCCATGCTCAAAACCCTTTACTCTCAACTATTTTCTCTCCATAAATTTCAAATTTCTGTTCTGAAACTGAGAAGTTGAGAAATGAATGTCTTATTTCTTTGGTTATTTCTGCTTGTAAAAATACTCACACAATGCAGTGAACACTCTTGCTGCCGATTTAATGAGGAGAATAGTGGAGTGACAGAAAGGCAATACGAGAAGTATAGATCGATTTTCCCCAATATCATTATGCCATGTATGTTTCTACTTCATGTTAATTCATTTAACATATGTTGGTCACCTATGACATCAGATCATTTGTATACAGAATTTGTAAGTACCTGGTCTTCTCTTGCTATCTTTTATTTCTACCAGAAACTCCCCCCCCCACTATGGGCCATAAGAGCCCTTCCTTTAGCCACACTTGTCAAACCAAATCATGTGTCTGTCACTCTTTTGCACAAGACAGGATGTGGGGTGAAGGCAGGTGCTGCATATTTTATTTGCTTCTGTACCTTACAGCCTGCCACCTGCTAGACATTTAATCCAGATTGCTTGAATGAATACCTAAGTGAATAAACCAAGTTTATTTAATCACCTTGATCACTGCTAAGAGGTCCCTTGACCCCTGGCTGGAGTGCCTCTGTTCCTTTTATACCTTATGGGACATTTTGTTTTTTTCTGTGTTCTTTCCCATTGATTGTGAAGCCTTTTTAAAGCTCTTAAACTATTAAGCTCCACTCCTTTATTGCTCATCGAATTTTATCTATCAACCAGGGTTCAGGTTCAGGGGACTCCCTGGTGTGGATTCTCAGGGAAGTTTGTGGGAAAGCTGAACTGTATTGCTCTTTTTTTTAAAAACCAATTAATTAATTCCTTTCCTTTGTTCTTCTTTATTGCTCTTAAATATCATTTCCCAGAGGCACATTTCCAAAATTGAATTCAAGACTTCCTACTATGATGTTTCATTATGACCTCTCTATTTCCTTCTTGGAACATGTCAATTTTCAAACTAATTTAAAATCACATACTTATTTTTGTGCTTATATATTCAATGTTCATCTTTACCACTAGTCAATAAGGCCTGCTGGAGAAACCATGTCCTTTTGATCACTTTGTGTTCTGAGGACACAATGTCTCAAACATGGCAAGTATTTACTATATATTTGTTAAAGGGGGATTAGATCAGAGTCACTTAATAATGAAAAGAATTTCAAACTAGCAGTCAATTCCAGCTTGACCACTAGCTGCCTGAAAGGTCTTATATAATTGACATTTGTTATTTATTTTGGTTCCCAGTAGATGAACCCCTTCTGTGTCTGAGGAATTGCCAACCTTTTGTGTCTTGCTGAGGATAAGGGGAGGAGCTATGTAACTCTTAAATAATACTGAAAAAGTCAATCATTTGCTTCATAGGCTGCCCCTTTGATTGGAGCACAGCTAAGGACTCTGGCACCAGAGATCAGCCTGTCTGGAGCCTGGTGACAGAGAATCAAGTGCAGGGAGCATTCTCCTGAGCTCAGAGATACAGCAGCAGTAGTATCTGTGTCAAAACCAGTTCACACATAGGGTTTTAATTATCATTTCTGTTTGCTGGATATCCATTAACCTTTTCAGTGATGCTCTCTGCATTAACCAATATCCTTTAAAGAAATCCCCTTTCTGTCTCACTCAGCCAAAATAAATTTCTGTTTTTCTTGCAACTCAGAATATTGACAGATTCACCTTGGGAAAAGTAGTAAATCTTTCTGGGTCTTAGTTTTCTCATATATGAAAGAGGATGGGGGAGAGAATTTAAATGATAGCTTGATTATTTCAAAACTCTGAGGTTTTGTGAAAATAGATACATTGGTTCAATTACTTAAAGGTATGGGTGATGGCTTTTATTACTAAAACCAGTGTTTTCTCAACCTGAAAATCTATTCCTCCCAAGAAATATAATCCCACTTCAAGGTCTTGGATCACCCATAATGAACAGGGAAGGATCCCTGTTTTGTTGAACCAGACATTTATAAATTACTTTCTCTTTCTTTTCTTTTCTTCCTTTCTTTCTTTCTTTTCTTTTTTTTTTTTTAAGCCAACCACTGCCTGGTCATGGTATATTGTGTTTAGTTTGAACCAGAACTCCCCACACAGGCACAATGAAAGACGTGACCTGGTTTGCCTCCTTTCTTTTCAATTGCAGCGTTTGCTTGTTTTTAGAGTTGTGTTATTTTAAGATTTGAGAAAATTGCATCTGGAAAGTGTGGAGTTCTTTTTTTTTTTTGAAGGAWGAATTCATATTTTCTGCTTGGATTGCAACCAGGGTTAACATATGGCAGTGCAACAAAGATCTCAGAAAATTTTTCTTTATCAGTTTGTGGAGGTGGGTCTGGGACAGTTGGCTTTCATTGTTGTTCTATGGATTAAATAGAAGGAAGGGGAAAAAAGTCAAAGAAAACATGCTAAGATTGTTGCATTTTTAATTTCTTAAAAGGTAATGTGAAAGTCAAGTATCACCACCATGATTTTTATATACATGAGAACATTGAGAGCCCAAGAAAGCATGTGATAGTTGTCAAGTTCTCCTCCTTCTACTCACTATTGATAGATTKACTCAATGACAGGCAGTCCCACATGTGGAAGGTAACAGTCTCAGAACTTAAATTTATTACCCTATTACTACCTTTGAGTATCATTTTCCCACTGCTCAGGAGCAAATCCATGTACTTGCTAGCTGGACCCAAGATAGAAAATCCAAATCTTTTCATCCCTACACTCCTGTCAATCACATGCTTTCCTAAAAGCAGTCACCTCCACCTCTTTCCCCTTCTCTTCAGTGCACAGATGTAGTGATTTCTTTTCTGGTGACCTCATCTTCCCCTAGTCACTGAAATGCCCTTGTTATCACTAGTCTAACTGGTTCTGTAATGTGATTCAATCTTGTTATCAATGGGGAATTTATTACATCACTTTGGCTCTCCTTTCAAGCCTTTATTTTCACATCATTTCCATGTCCTCTTCTATTTCATTATTTAAGGTAACTTACAGCTTTTAACCTTAGCTTAAGTCTTATTCATAACTGTGTGAAACAGCCTGGAGGGAGGACTGGGCTCTCCTTCTGAAATGGATGTTCAAAGAGCCTCAGGGATTTTATCCCACTTACGATGATTAGTGGAGAGACCCAAAGTATCTCAGCCAGTGACTTTTCCACTCTTCCACACTGCCTTACCCACTGAAGGAAGATAGGACCTAAGAAACCTTTGTGCTAGAAAGGTTYGAATGTATTGGACTCAGAGGCAGAGTCATATGTAACTTGAAGAATTTACTTTCAACCATGTTCAATGATTGCTTTAATTGGTCAATTCACTGGAATTGAGTGATTATGTGCCACTTTGCTACTGTGGCACTTAATGCCAGTCTGAACTAGAGCTGGAAAACACTGTCTTAGTCCTGTGCAGCAAGATGTATTTAAAATGAACTGGGCTGCAGATGTGAGATTCTTTTGTATAAGCTAAACACGAATCCTGTGACTTTCCTCCCACAAGAATTGTCTAATTTAGGAATTTGAAGTTCTACTGCTTTGCCAGTGAACCAAAAGGCAGAGATGAAAGTGAAGTAATTAAACAAAGTAAACAACTTAGAAAAGTTGACAGGCACAGATATTTTTGTTTGAACTGGCTTAAAGATATTTGGGTGGTCAGTTTTAGAAAATATAAATGAAGATGTACCTAGAATGGAGGAAAGTGAGGAACAAACTGTTGGAAAGATTAAAACCATTTACAGCCAAGTAGAAAAATCGGGAAAAATGAAGTACAACAGGAGAGTTTTAGAAACTTTTGTGGAGTATATCATAGAATGGTTTTAATATTAAAATGCCTAATAATTGTGGAGTGTATTTTAAAATGAGAGGGTTATAGAAAGTGAATGGGTCTCATATTAACTTTGAAGCTTCAGAAACACAAATAACATTCTTCATTGTCTTTTTAGATTTAGCCTTTTGTCCCCTTTTCATCTTTAAACTTAATTTCTAGTCATTGTTCTTTATTCTAAACCCAGAAAACCCACAATGATTCATTTTCTATGTGCTCTTTATTTATGTGTATGTATAATTCACCTATGTCTATTTAAAAGAGATAATACAATATAAATGCTTGAAATTTTTCCTCCACTGCATACTATTCAAAAAAAGTAGAAATCATGTAAAATGTAGAAGATATTCTGGACTAACTACCAATCTATTTTTTGTGAATGCCTTGGCAGCAACATAGAAATCAGCTTTTGAGACACTGTGAAACATCATATGACTCACCAAAGAAGCAAGGATGGGGCTGTGTTAAGTCCCTAGACAAATGCTAAGGCAAGCTTTATTTATATAGTTAGTGTTTATTTGGAGATTTAGAAAAAGAAGGCCCTTGCTGGGAGCCTTGAGGCATCCATTCCATTTGCAAACAAAAGTCAGACAAACCAAACCAAATGAAAATTTCTCTTGGGAAAGCGTCTCCTAACTGATAGAAAAGTAAACTCAACAGAAGAGGGAGCCATATGTGTGCATTAGATCTGAAGAGTTTATAACCGCTAAACACAGGTGAGAACTTTGGCTCAGGGCACTAAACAAGGCTGCAGGACACACAGGAATGCTGGGCTCACTTGATTTATCTCCTGGGGACTCAGATTCTCTATTTGYAAAGTGGAGCAAAACAGATAGTATTAAGTTTTTTTTTTTTTTTTCCCTGCAGTTTATTTCTGGAAATGAGCTTTGAGATTTTGGAGTCCGAGTCTGTGACTTTAGAGCAGATGTGGCATGCGTCATTCTTATATACTCCACCAAGCTGTGTGAGGTGTGAACAGACAGGCTAGTCTGCAGGTCATAGACTGAGGCTTGGACCATTTTCTATGTACAATAGCTTTTAGCTCCCACTAAAGCATAATGAAACAGGCATGCATACGCATGACTTTGTTGTAAGTAAAACATTTCTGATCAACCTTCTAAAACAGGATTCATAAATACTGTGAATTTACTTATTACCGATGAAGCACTTTGTGTTTCGCCTCTTATTACTGATCTTTTACATAACTTTTTCCCCCTTAAATTAAGGGAAGAGAGAAGGAGGAGGGAAGTGAAGCAGCCTCAGATAGGTCCATTCTTACATAATCCCAAGCTTTTAGGGAACTCAGAGATAAAAGGGACATTCACTTCTAAAACCCCCAAGATGATTATGATCAAGCTCCCTGTTCATAGCGTTGTAGCCAAGGGCACGTAGTCCTCTGATTGGTCAGAGTCATCTGATGCCTTTGATGGCAATTCTATAAAACTCCTAGGAGGGGGAGTAATGCTGGGAATGCTAAAGCAGAGGATAACTGGGATAATGAAAATAAGTTCAAATGAAGTGACAAAAGACAGATGTGTATTAGAGGACTGATTTCAAATATAGTTTTATTATTTATCTTACAGAAAGAATATTCTAGTATATAACAGTATAGGAATACTTTGAAGGTAATGCACTCTCTCAATTAGCTCTCTCTCTCTGAAATAGTTCAACTTTAAAATAAAGCCCAAAGCTGGGAATGATGGTGTGTTCCTATGATCCTAGCTTCTTGGGAGGCCAAAGCAGGAGAATTCAAAGTCCAAGGTCAGTCTGAGCAACTTAGGGAGACCCTGTTTCAAAAACAAAACAAAACAAAAAAATAAATTTTGGACTGTATTTTCCAGTGTAGGAAATTTACTCTAAGTTCTTGTTCATACAGTTGGTCAACAGCTGTGCTAACAATGGAGATTCTATGAGGGCAGGATGTATCTGCTTTGTTCCTTGCAATAGACGTTACACAAAACATGCTTAATAATACTTGTTGATTAAATGAATAAACAATGATATTTAGGCTTCTATTTCTCCATGCAACATTTCATTCTATAGGTTAATCTCAAGCAGAGCTCTCATATTTCCTGCTCAAAACCTACTACTGCCTCAAAGCACAAAGTATTCAGTTCAAGTTCAGTAACATATAAAACCCTGAGTGCATATCTTTCTTCCTAGCCTCATCTCCCTTTGCTGTTTTTCCATATCAAAGTGAATTTCTCACTAGCATTTTCTTTCTTTCTTTTTAGTACCAGGAATTGAACCTAAGGGTGCTTTACCACTGAGCTACCCCAGCACTTWTTATTTTTTATTTTGAGACAGACCCTCACTAAGTTGCTGAGGCTGGCTTCAAACTTGTAATCCTCCTGCCTCAGCCTCTCAGGTTGCTGGGATTACAGGCATGCATCACCACATCTACAGTTCATTCACAATTTCTGTGCAAACTTCATTCATGTGTTTTTTTTTTYYCCCAAGATTTTGCTCATGCTGGTCTCACTCTTTTTCTTTTATTTCCACTTGCCAAAGTGCAGGTTATATGTCACATCCTTTGTGAAACTCTTCATAATTTGCYGAATAGGATGCAATTTTGTTCTCCTCTGAACTGGAGCTTAAATCATATTCAGCCTTGTACTGTATTTATCTGTATTCTAGAGAGAGACAACACAGGCATGAAGCCACACCGATATTCCTCATAGCACTTGGTATAGTGTTTTGTCTAAGCATTTGCTAAAAAGTTCTGTTGAACTGAGTGAGCTGCTGACTTATAGCAATCAGGTAGGTCATTGTAGGGTCCTGATTAGGACTACATTATTAAGGGAACTGAACTGCTGGTGGTGAGAAACTGTATCTCTAATATTCTTTGGTCTGAAAGTTAAGAGACCTTTGGATAATTATAATTTTGTGTGAGAGWAAGGTGCTTTCTGGAAAAGTCTCATTTTGTACAACAGTCTCACTTCAGCTGAGGTGCGATGACTGTGTTTTACTTTATACTTAGTGAATTTCCACAATCTGAGCCTCAAACTTGAGCAACACCTGAGCCAAAAGAAATGCCATTTAATAGAAGCCTCTGAAGAAGATGCATATTAGAATTTCAAACCTGGGCAGAGTTTTCAGTTTCCCGAGGCAAATGTGGATGATTTAAAATTTCATCAAGGTGAATGTATTTTCTGTCAAGTTTTTAAGTGAATGTGGGTTGAAAAGTCTGGAAAGCTCAGGAGAACAGATGTCTTTTTTATTATGATTTCTTACTCAAAATGCAGGGGAAACCTGACAGTTATTAAAGGGTTACACTTTGGGTCTGTGGGTACWTTAAAATTCTAGAGTGGAGAATGGACAGGAAGTGATAAGTGGATAAAGCTTCTTCTAGCTGAACTTTTGAGAAGTCCATATGAAATAATTCCTAGGAACAAGATAAATGCATTGCAGTAGATACGTTTTCCGGGGTGTGAAGAGGTGATTTGTTCCTCCTCCACACCTCTCATTTTAGGTCCTCATTACTTACGAAGTTTCTCCATTCTCTTCTTCATCGCTTTCTCTCGTCAGGTGGCGATGTTGATTTGTGCTGGTTTCCTGATTGCCTGGATCCCTTATGCAGTGGTCTCTGTGTGGTCAGCATTTGGAAGGCCGGACTCCATTCCCATCCAGCTCTCTGTGGTGCCAACCCTCCTTGCAAAATCTGCAGCGATGTACAATCCAATCATCTACCAGGTCATTGATTACAAATTTGCTTGTTGCCAGACTGGTGGTTTGAAAGCAACGAAGAAGAAGTCTTTGGAAGACTTCAGGTAAAATCCCAGAAGCTAGAAATGAATCATGCACTCTTTGTTTCAAAATCCTATGGGGGTGGCGCTGGGGTTATAGCTCATCGGTGGAGCGCTTGCCTCGCACGTGTGAGGCAATGGGTTCGATCCTCAGCACCACATAAAAATTAATAAAATAAATAAAGATATTGTGTCCATCTTAATAAAAAATCTTTTAAAAAATTCTAAAGGGGCTCAAGCCACTAGGATATGCTATCACCTCAAGGTTAGAGTGTATTGTCCAGGAGTAGGATAAGAAGAATTTTATTTTCTGTCCACCAAAATTCCTAAAACAATATGTAGGTGTGAGATTGTGTGGGTAGATATGAGAAAAGTGATTCTGCTTTTGATTCTGGAACAACCAAGATGCTTCACTGTGTCAACTGGAGCAATCACTATGTGTCAATGGCTCTTAACTTACTTACACGGAACCAAATCCATTCTATTCCGAGAGTACTGTCCCACCTGGTATTGATCCAAAATTTCACTCAACAGATGATTCTTTTGTTTGGGACATCACAACCACTAGCTAAGAGCCTAGGCATTGGGCAGGCACAGGAATGGAAGAAGGGAGATGATGTTTTTGCTCAGTGCCAGATCTTTTGCTTTATGTTCACCAGAGTCCAAGTTATTCTTTATCCTTGTCAGATGAGGAAACTGAGATTCAAGTATGATCAAGGTTAAGCACATTTCAGTTGTTCTCATTAGCCATTTATACAAAATATAGAAATTGCTCTGCTGAGGAAGGCAAGGGCTCATTCCTTGCTCTGGAATTTCAGCTTCCCCTGGAGTAGCAGGCAGGAGATCATGGAGAAGCAACCAGGAGACCATGGCKTCTAGAAGCCCAAGCCTCTTCAGGGAGGCAGTGTGGAAGATGTGCTGAGTGGCAGATTTTAGAAGAGTTGGGATGAATGGGGGACTGCTGCAGAGAGGAGCAGAAGGGCAGATTTATTTTTATCTTTATAGTGAATAAAACAAAATCTTGTTTATCTTTGTAGTTATTAAGAAGTTAAACAGGTGAGTACGATGGAGACCCATAGCATGAGATGAAGGGATATGAAGCTGATCCAGAGTGGATAACTTACTGCTAGTGCAATGAAGTAAATTTGAACTGGACTAACTGACATCCTTGTTCTATTTCTGAGCTCTGAAACACATTTGCTGATAAGGAGAAATCTTCTTGGGAAATAAATAATTTTGAATTCAAGTGAAAAAGCTAACGTAGAGAATATGAGATGGTGGAAATAAATTTTGAGGGATTTTAACAGTTCATGACAAATTAAACTTATCCCATCCCTATGCACTCCCACTCTCAAATCGAATTCCCTGAGGTTTTAGTAGAAGTTGATGAACCAAAAGAATAATATGTGGCGAGACCCCTTTTTGAATATTATTATTCCCATACTGAGGTATTTAGAGGTAGTCTCAGGCAAAGAGTGCATTTTCACTACAGCTCTGTGATCAAAACACCGGGGGAACTTTGAAAAGCTGCTATAGCCTGGACCCTACCTGCAGATTCAGCTTTTCATTGTCTGATTGGGCCTGAGCTTCAGTTGTTTGGTTGATTCTCCCACATATCTCATGCACAGTCATTGTTGAATGTTGGTGAAGCAGATGCTGAGAAAGGAAAAATTGTCTGTGGTCATAGGTCTTTGACTCCATCTCCACAAAGACTTATGGCCACTTATGGCCAGTGACAGAGGAAAGAGTCATTAGATCCTGGACCAGTCTTAGATGGAAAAGAAAGATCCATAAGACACACTGGGGAAGGACAGTGAAGGATAGACGTATTTTACTTTCCTAATATTTTAGCAAAGATAAAGAACAAGGGAGAACAAAGTCCTGAACTCTGGCATAGTTATTATAATTTAATCTCCTTTGACCACTTTAAWTTGCAGTGCTCTGTTTCCAAAGAATGCTCCTTTAATAGGTCAGTCCCAAGGCTCAGAGGAATGGTAGGCAGATGTGCARTGGATTTTGTTCTAGAGAAATCCAGACATGCTGTTAAAAAAGCATCTTGATTTTCGAAAGCTCTGCCCAAGAGATTCCTTGATTTTGAATATTCTAAATTGAAATGTTATTTTTCATTCTAATTCAAGTCTTGTGCACAGAGTGTTCAAAGTAGTCAAGGAGACATGAGTGTGTATGTATATATATATATATATATATATATATATGTATATAAAATGTATGTATATATATATGTATATAAAATGTATGTATATATATATGTATATAAAATATGCATATATATGGATACATTAGTGTACATATTTATGTATATTAATTTGAATTTTCTCCCATGTCTAGGCTGCACACGGTCACCACAGTCAGGAAGTCTTCTGCTGTGCTGGAAATCCATCAAGAGGTATGAAGATGGACACAGCATCACTCATGGACACATGTATTCAGTTATTCACCTCTTCACTGCTGTTAACATCTGATTGCAGCCACAGTTTTCTCTTTATATTATATTTTTATATTTTTTACACTTTTTTTCTGTTTTTTCCTTTAGCCAGGGTTTGCTGGAAAATTCTAGTGGCCAAATGGAAACTAGATTAGAGGATACTACTTGAAGGAATAGTGTTAGAGTGAGCATCCCTGGAACTTTCTTTTTAATTGTGCTTTAAAACCTATTGTCATGCCAAACAGTAATAAGCCTGAGATATTAAGAAAAATGTTGAATATTTTATTTTTTAGGGTGTTATTTAATTTTACTGCATCATCATTATTATCATTTCTTGACATAGAGTCAGGAATGCAGTTTCTGGGGTTCTTTTTGGTGGGTAAACATCAGGATTGTGTGTTGGGCCATGGCTCTTGGACTGGTAGATGCTTGTGGTTCTCACAGCTATTCTCTATTCATGCTGACAGAGGGTCATACTCCAATAGCAACGATTCTGCAAAGAAGTCCTATAGGGAAATGAGTTTTGTCTGAAATCACTAAATGGAAAACTCTCTTTATCTCTGAATTTGAGGACAAAAATAATTCCCACTGATGTTAATTTTACACAGGTGGGTTTTTCTTATTAGGGTCTAGTTACTGATATAGTGGATCTAGCATGGTACTACTAGCTGTAGTTGTTTAAGAAATGAATTTAGTGAAAATAGTTATGTGCAATTGTTATTTCTTGTTTGTTCTTTGTGACATCTGTTCTTTCTTTGTTCATTTTTTTCTTCATTGAATACCTTTTGAAATCCATAAAGAGATACAATTTTGAATGAGATGGAAATATTTGAAGGGCAGACCTTTGTCCCTTAACAGCTAATGAAAGTGGCAGGCTTGTAAATACTAGGTTCAAATAGTATTAGTAAAATCAATGTCAATCTGATCATCTCTCCTGATCTGAGGAGCATGACCATCTGCATTGCTATTAAAGAATAGCTGGCAGGTATCCTCCACACTTCCTTCATTCCATCTACCTCCACCTTCTGCTATGAACTAAGTCTTGCTCGTGGATTCTCCTTCTACCTTCTGGTAACTGCTAGTGAGAAAATAGAAAAGGGGAAGAAAGCAACCACTTGTGCTGTTGATGATCTCTCCATCCTTCCATTTGAAGGTTTAGAGAGAATCGGACACACCTCCAAGGCTCAGTCCTCTATGTATGGTACCACCTTTAGTTCATTTTGAGTTTTCTTGAGTGTTTTCTTGAGAGTTTCTATTTTCTCACTAGAAGTTACCAGTTAAAGGATGAGGAAGGGATTTGATATTGTCATTGGTTTAAGATAAGTGTCAAATAGATGCTACAAAACATGCTCTGTGAATAAAGCAAAAAGTTAACTCTGAGTGGGGCTTGGGATTGTTTATCAAAGTCTGAGAAAAGAAACAAAATTGTTTTTAGAAGACAGAGGCAAGGGACTTTAAGGCAGATGTGTCAATTATAGAGGCATGAAGGGGTGTGGAGCGGGGCACAGCTGTAAAGTACAGAGTCAGGCTGTCTGGATTTGCACCCTAGTGTGCCCTTTGGCAAGCTTGTAAAATAAGAATGTGAAGTATCACAGGGTTATTGTGAGTCTTAGGTGAGATAAAAGGCACTTAGCACCATGCTTGTGACAGCAAGAACACCCCCTGCATATTGATGATTGCTGTTGTTAACTTTCAGGTAGGTGTAACAGTTCAGAAGTAGGGCCAGCTATGATAAGAAGGACCAGTGTGGTGGTATTAAGGAGGGTGATCCTCTGGGACAGATGAAAGATCAAGATTAGGTGTTATCAGACCAGTTAGGCAGCTCTTTAAAGAAATGGCAATATATGAAGACCTGACTTAAAGAATGACAATGGATATGGAGTTGAAAATATAGCTGTAAAATATTGTAAGAAGTAGTTCTTGGCAATTGATGACACAGAGTTAGAAGAGTCAAGGCTGGCTTGGGGGCGTCTGCTCAGAGAATAGTGTGGAAAATGGTGTTGGCAGAGGAGAAAGGTTCAAGAGAGGGCAGAGAGAGAATTAATTATATTTTGTTTTTTATTTTTTTATTATCAGTTGTTCAAAACATTACAAAGCTCTTGACATATCATATTTCATACATTTGATTCACGTGGATTATGAACTCCCATTTTTACCCCGTATACAAATTGCAGAGAGAATTAATTATATTTTGGATGGGTTGAATACAAGTTATTTGCAACATAGGTGAAGCTATTCAAAATAGGTAGCTGAAAATAATCTGAGGCCACACACAATGATATGGAGATTATGGAGTGAAGGGGTCAGGCAGTAAGAGACAAGTTAAAGAAATAATTGCCAGTGTCAATAGACTTGAAGGAAGAAAAAGAGGTTTTTTAATTTTTATTCTTTATTCCTTTTTCTCTTTATTTTCTTGAGGGAGATAATTGTGGAAGGGAATGATGAAGAGATTCRAGGTAAAAAGAAAAACCATTCAGGTTAGTGTAGATTTGTCTACAACGTAAAATTTAACATTGGTATTATAGTTCTGTATACTGAAGATAGAAAGTACAYTTTCATTTTTTAACCGTTAAACTGAAATGTGGCCTTAAAAGAAAACCTGGGCTGGGGATWTAGCTCAGTTGGTAGAGTGCTTGCCTCACATGTGCAAGGCCCTGGGCGAGCATCACCACTGGAAACAAACAAACAAACAAACAAAAAACCTGTGCAGAAGTAGCATAGTGGGGAGGGAAGAGAGAGTTTAAATTCTCTGGGGAAGAGATCCTAGAATTAATTCCTGCTACCAATTTAAAATATATGATTTTAAATCCACCAATCTATTTTTTTTAAATGATACCCTAAGAACTAGGAGACACAGAATTGTTATCACTATTGATACAGAAAGAGAAATTTGATCCTTGGAGTAGAAGGGAGAAAGAAAGGAATGAGGAAGTCATCAAAGGTTGGCTGCATATTCCTGGCTGTGAGTGAATAATTTCCCCGAGTTGAGGTGCTTCCCAGGGATAGCTGATGATTTGAGGAAACTCTGTTACCAAACACTTCTGTAATTTTCAATTTAAGTTAGCTTTAGATTAAAAAAAATAAGAGGAAGAASAAGAAGACATTGCATTTTGTGTGCTGGTAGTGGTGTTTGAGAGAGACCACAAAATCTTTTGAGCAGGCAAAGTGCACCTCCTCTGGGATCTCATAAGTGCCTCGGTGCCTGACATGTGAAGGGAATTTGGAAATTAAGTGGTTGGAATCAAACAAGCAACTGTCAGGGGAGATTTGGAAACATGGGATGAACTATTGAATTGATAATCTAAAATCCTCAATCCCTGGTTTTTCATTTTAAACTCCCTTGTTTCTACGCACCTCTATTTAAACATGGCCTGTCCGATTAATAAATGAATGGATAAATGAATTTATAAAATGGGTATGAAGACTAGAGATGCCTTTTTCACTTGGAGAGTTGGATTTTAAGAATCATAATAAAACCTAAATATATTTTGATATTTTTTCCAAGTAGGGTGAGGCAAGAGGAATATATTTCACAGTAAAATCCAATTATTTGATTCTTAAAATGTAGTTTTCTCAAGAGTTACACATGCTGATTATTTACAACTGAAATGGTAGCTGAAAATTTTGTCTCCTTTAATTTTCCCTTGAAAAACATACCACTGTCCTTTTTTTTTTTTATTGATTGTTCCATACATTACAGAGCTCTTGATAAGGATATGCAAATGGTAGGAGACCTTCAATGATACACAAAAGTATAAGAGGTTATGATGTGCAAGGGGGAGGGGGAAAAAAGGGAGAG